CTTTGCCTTGTGGCAATTGGAATTGTGTGTTGTTCGAGGTAGAATAAAATATGATTTGATTGGGCAAAATACTTAACGTTGCTTAATATTCGAGAGCAACGGATTTCCGACGGCACTTAATTGAAATTTTATTTGAATATCTTTATTAAGACGAATAACAAAAGTATTTTGTGCGTAACTTTTGATGAAAAGGCAGAAAAACAGTTAAAAAGTGCAGGGAAACAAACCAATTTTAGATTTAAATGTGATTTTGTTGAAATCGCATTAAATCATTATGTTTATTTATTGACTTCTCTCATTCTCCATAACTTTCTGATGAAAAATTCCATATTTAGGAAGTTATGTTATCAAGTAAGCTTTATATATAAAAGCATATTTATAAGCCACTCTACAAATCTCAATTCGTTGTACACATGGATTACTCAATGACAACTTTCACTTGGCTGCATGCAAGTGCATTTCATGTTGAAATCAATGTAAAGGTTGCCACAGTCTCTGTCCCTTTTTATCCAGATTGTCCTCCGTTTGTCCAATTCTTGAGCTGTTGCACACAAACTAACGCGAATATATGCGTCCGTTTGTTGGCAATTTTTCAATGATGGATACTTTAAGAATTTATGACGACGATTCCGACTGATTTCATGGTTGCCGTGCCAACTATCTGAGTGCCAAAAGCGAAAAGCAAACGGAATCGTAACGAAACGAAAAGCAGCGAAACGAAGCGAAGCTGGGCAAGCAAACACAGTCTCAAAAACAAAGATCCTTTGCGAAGGACTGCCTCTGAGGTTGCCAATGCCATTACCACAGTCAGTGCTGCACAAACCCTGTTGTAGCTGTTTTTGTTTGTGTTGTTATTGTTTTTGTTGTTGTTGCGGTTATATCCTTGCAATGATTTTCCAGCGCTGTGTTTACCCACGTTCGTCCCCCCGGCGCATCTGTTTGCCCTGCGCGCTCCACCCCCCGTTCTCCGCTCCTTGCTGGCTCAGCAGCTCACTGAGCTGTGCGAAAACCAGCGGCCCTGGTCGGGAATAAATTATTAAATCATACCCAGTTTTAGTTTAAAGCAAGCAGCTTAAAGTTTACCTAGGGTTACCTACCTAAGGAAGGAGTATAGGGGGGTGGTTGCTACTGAGCCATTTATGAATATGCAGCGTTGGAATTTCACAGTCAGGGCTTTGCAAATCTGCTTATGAGATACCCTGCCACTCGCTCAAGCGTCTAATTGAAGTTGTGCCACGAAATTTGAGCACCGCAAAAGGGACGCTCCGCCCAGAAGCTGCGATAAATCCGGCCAAGGAAATCGCTGGCAATCGATAATCGCTTAATTGGCCACACGATTGATGCGTTGATGCAGTCCTAGGCTCCAATCCAGAAACCACGGAATCCAACAATCCTAAAGAAGGAAATGAGCTAACCAACTCGCATTTCCGAGATTTCAGATGGCTTTAGAAATGGCAGCTGCCTTTACTTATCGTGCTCTGTGTGTGTGTGTGTGTGTGTTGTGTCTTGACCAAATAAAGTCAAGCACTAAGCGAGAAAATTCTTAGCTCGTAATGCTCTGAAAAGTCGAATTCAAAATAGTTTAAAATGAAATACATTTTAAAAATTAAGTAAATTTCTCACTGATATAATTTAAATTAAACTTAAATAAAAACAAAAGAACATATAAAGAAAACACTATTTCTGTATGCAATCAAATATATATTGATTATAATGTGAATCACATTTTGATCAATAGTTGGCAAACTCAGTTTCATCATTGTTAACTTTAAAATCTTATTTAAGTTGTATAAATATGCTTTCAACCAATAAAAGAATGTTTAATTACTGGCTTTCTGTCCTCGTTCCGGTTTGGAATCAACTATGATTTCGCTGCAATTTACTAAAATGATTGTTTAACTATTGCCGAGAATATAATTCAGAAAAGCATCACAAAATTTAACGGCATCCAATGCTGTTTCAGATTTTGTTGAGTTTCTCCTCCTGTCATTGAAAGCGCTGCTTCCCCCGCACTAAAACCCTTTGAAATTACTCGTGAAAATTTAATGTTTGCACCTTTTTATGATTACCTGTGTTGCTGGCCAACGTAATTGCCAATTGCGGAAAATGTTTCAAATATTTTTGGCTGCCCCGCAAACTGTGCCACGGAAACTGTTCACAAACATATGTTGACATATTATATGAGACGAAGCTGTAAAATGTTTTCTCTTTTCTGTCATTTTTTGTTGAGGTTGGAGCTGTTGTAAATAAAACATTGTAAAGAGACAAAAGGCAAGTGGCTTCAAATGAGCAGCGACCAACTCATAAAACAAAATGCCAAAGAGCCAAAGCACAAGCCGCAAGTGCCGTCAAGTGCGAAATTTAAATTTGCATAAATTATAAAACAGCACAAAAAAGAGGGTAGAAAAAGCGCGCAAAGAAACAAAGAACATTTAAAAAAATGCTGCTGGATTCTCATGAAAAATATATAATATTATCCAGTGATAAACATCAACGTTGAAAATGGATTTGGTGTTTGACATAAGCTGACCAGCAAAATGATGGCTCTTCCTTGTTGTATTGTCATAAATATATTGAAATATGGACGAACTGACATCGTCCAATAATTTGCTAAGATAAAATAAAGAACTGAGGACGTTGTTACAATTGCCATAACAACTGATCGCATCTGATCCGGCTGATAGGAATGATATCAATGTGGTTATACTTTTTCAACTATAACTTATATGCTTCTTATCCAATATTGATAATATTTGTCTAAATAATAAAATTTATTAATACGCTAAAATTGATAAAAATAAAATAAAAATAATAATAATATGCAAAGCTCGTTCAGATAAATAAACAAGAACACAAACAGGGCAAAACAAAAAAAAAAAAAACTATTTTGTTCATTTAATTCTTTAAATACTCGCAATAATATCAATTGACAAAATGACTGGACAAAGCACAGCAAAACCACGACCAATCACATATATAAGGCAGATTTTGTTGCTTAATTGTTTGCTAGCCGGACTACAAAATTATTTTATTGCAAGTTATAATTTATAAGACTTTCCAAATTAAAATGATTTAGAAATATTTAAAAATACAAAATGATCTAATATTTATTGTAAGGATGTTGAAACCCAGAAAAATTCAAATATATTTAATTTGTTAACTAATATATGCCGTTTGCAGGCATGTTGAGGATTTTTTGTCTAAATGTTCTGAGCATAATAAACGGAGTTGTCAATTTTCGACCTATTATTCCAATGGAAGCTGTCCGTTATAATATAATATAATGTATATATTTTGTTATCAGCTAAGTGCAAAATGCGTAAGTTGGCAACCGTTTCTAGGAACCTTTTCCTCTACAACAAGAGCAAGTCAGTGATTTCAGTTCGCTTATTGGAATAAATATATGCGATGCCATAGTTTTTTTTACTCTTCAATGTTGCATTTTTTTTTTTTTTAAGTGACATTTGGTAATAAAACTAGAATATATTTAATATATTCAGGTTTTGGGTATATCGTAATCGAGCTCATTTAGCTACAATATTCCTGATTGTTTTATTTTGATATAAATATTGACAATTTTAATCGAACTTAGTCAATGCTGATTGGTTAACAGAAGCTTTGTTATTTATTAACCGTGTATTTTCAAGCTATGCTTGCTTAATGAGCTGCCAGTTTGCCACATCAAAGAGAGGGTTTCTCGTTCGTTCTCTCATTTCGTATATTTTCTAATTTTTGGTTTGCTGGCTGTCTATTCGATTTAATTCGCATTCGCTGCTCAAAGAGATATATTATCTTTTTCATACGGTCTCTCAGCCTGGTCGTCATTAGGCTATGCAGTTTTTTCTTGTTTGGCTTATGGCTGGTTCATTTTTCTGCACGGCTCCTTTTCTCTTGTTCTTGCATTTTTTTTGGGTGCATTGCTCTCAATGGAAATCACTCACACACAATCTCTATTGCACACACACACATGCACCGTGACGCTGCAATTTTAACACTTTGAAGTCCAGTTTGAATTTGGGCATCGTTGCATGCTGGCCTTTTTTTCTAGTGGCATGTGCCCCGTGCCGGATCCTGTGGTCCTGCGGTGCTTTGGCGCTCGTTTCCTTTGCAACTATTTCAACAAAGCGCAGTGCAGTTACTTTTATGTTTTGTACGTGCCCCAGCAGAACGACAGCTGAGCAAAAACGCAAAAGAATCACCAGCTATGATGATGTAGCACGTGTCAACATCAGTTGTGACTGCCAGTTGCGCTGCCACCGAGACTGCAACACCAACTGGCTGAGGCACTGGGACGACGCACAACATGACCGCCTGTCATCATAAATGTCAGAGCGGTTCACCGTCCGTTCAAAGGGGCAACACAAAAAATAAGAAGAACAACTAGACGATACATGCACTGACATGTTGCTGCATATCAAAGTAAAATGTGATCTATGTGCAACCTGTCAAAACTATAAAGAACGTGTCGACAACTGATTGACTATTGTTTTCTAAGCTCCTTGATACGTTTTCTAAAAACAAGAATAGTAATTGTTATAGTCTTGGCTTCTTTTCTATAATTTTTCATTAATTTCACACAGCCAATTAGAATGAGAAATCCAATCCAATTTACATAAAAATATTTTTAAATTTTTAATAGAATAACAAAATATTTATTTTTAAGAGTTTAATGAGCTTAAAATTGTATTTAATACTAATAATTTATTGATCAGAATTTGAACTTTTCAATTACTGTACACTCTTGTTAAATTATACATACAATTAAATATAATTAATTTATGAATATATTACTCAGCAATGGAAGCAAGAGTTCTCTTAATTGTTTTGATTATTGAAAAATCACATTGATAATTTTTTATGAATGAGAGAAGATCACACTTCTACTAGCTATATGAGATTTAATTTGTTTTTACTTGCTGCTTATCTCTCTGAGAATATAAGCAAGATGCTCAACTCTGATGCTAAAATCAAAAACACAGCCGTGCTCCGAGAACAGTTTGGTAAAGACAATGTCGACAGCAACAGCAACTTGTCGCACTTTTCGACTGATATTAATATTGTTGAGTATTTTGTCAGCGAGTAGCCAGGAAAATAATGCCAATACACTGCTACTGAATGAGATACTTAGCTATGTGGACGAGAGTGTCTCTGAGTGCGATGATTACTACAGATACGCATGTGGTAAGTGGACTGAAGTGCATGAGAACGATGACTTTGTGGACCCTTTGGGACTAATTGATCAAAAGGTTAATGGGAATCTGGTAAAGCTTATGGCTGAGCTGCAGCAGAAGCAGCAGAGAAGTAATGTGGAAGCCAAAATGTTAAGCTTCTATCAGACATGTCGGCAGGCAGCGAATTCGACACGTGCGAGCAAAGGTTATCTGGAGCTGGTGCCACCAAATGAGCAAATACTCTGGCCGCAGTTCAAGCGCCGATGGGAAGACTGGGATAGCAGCAAATTCCAGTGGATGGAAACATTGGCTCGCCTCAGACGCTACGGGCTGGCGAATGTGCTCTTCGACCTGGATCTGCAAACAGAAAACAACAGCAAATACCTTGTTGTCATTGAGAAGCCCAAACTCAAGACAGAATCAACACAGCTACCGACTGATCTTCATGTCCTCAGCCAGAAGCTTCTCGTGCTGGGCGTTAACGATAGAGAGACTTACTCTCTCGCTAGGCAGGTCACCATGCTGGAGCAAGGTGTGCGTAAATTGGTTTTGAATTCACAATCGAGTGAAACGGTTGGGGAGATAACAGTGCACGAGCTGGAGCAGCAAACTGGCGGAGATTGGCGAAAATATTTTGAAATCTTGCTGAATCGCACCGTGTCCGCTGACTTTGTGCTGCAAGTTCAGAATGTGGCATATTTAAAGCAGCTAAACCGGACGCTCGCCAGGTGGAATGCCGAGGTATTAGCCAGCTACATTATGTTGCGCTTTGTCTCGTATCTGGAGGAGGCGACCATGGATAGCAGAGAGCCCATTGATTGCGTTCAGGAATTGAGACGCCACATGTTACTAGCGACAAATCTAATTTATGAGCAGCGATTTATTGGCCCGGACAAATTGCGAAAGCTTCAAAGGGATGTTTCGGAGCTGTTGGAGGTGCTGCGCCAGCAGTTCTACAAGATGTTGAAGTTTAATCATCTGGGTCTGAAGAGTAATCAACTGAAATTGCTGCGGGACAAGATGAAGATGATGAAACTCAGCTTTGGCAGTATGCCGATGCATACAAATCATTCCAGCATTGTGTCGAGTTTCTATGAAGACTTGCAGCTGCTTGAGGATCGTGACTATGCCAAGAATCTCTTGCGTTTGTTGGAGTTCGACACTCGTCGCCTGTTCGAGCAGCTGGATAAGCCGCATGATTTCTTCTTACCGGACCCAAACATGTCCATGATTTCGACACCGTTTTATATTAGAGATCAGAATACCATCGTTATGCCCTTTGGTGTACTCGAGGAGCCTTTTTTCCAGCCAGACGCACACGATATATTCAAGACTACCTTGCTGGGCCACCTCAGCCACGAGCTGATGCACGGCTTCGACTCATCTGGACTGGACTACGATAGAGACGGGAACTACAATGCGCAGATTCATAAGATCACAAGCCTACGGCTGCATGAGGCGGGAATAAGCTGTCTCAATCAATATGAAACAGTGGGAATGGATGAACGTGAGGCGGACATTGCTGGCATTCGTCTGGCATATGACGCTTATTTTGGCCCTGGCTCAAGATTCAACCAGTCCCAGCCCAGTTTCACGAGCCTGTCTCTGAAGCAGCTCTTCTTCCTCAACTCCATGCAATACTTTTGCAACAAGGAACCGCTAAATGATGATGAAGAACACGATTCCGATGATATCCGTGTCTATCAAATGCTGATCAACTTACCAGCCTTTGCCGAGGCACACGGTTGCCGCCCCGATGACGATAATATGCATCCTTCCGCAAAGTGTCGACTTTGGTGAAATGCTGCAAAATGTTGCCATGTTTATTCTAAAGAAATAAAATAATATCATCAATTTGGACGAGTTGAATGGAAAGTATTTTATTAATATGCAGCCAGTTTGCACAAGAGTTAAGATTTTGAATATTTTATATTTTGTGCAGGGGATGCGGATCTCTTCTCCATCAATATATAATGATTGAAAAACAACTGTAAATAATTTGCATTTCTTTCGCGATTGAGCTCATTCAAACTCTACAAGTGAATAATTTAATTATTATATTTTCTTTCACTCGTTACTTAAAACTGTTAATCCAATTAAGTTGTAAATTATAATTGCATTTTGATTTTTGTATAATTTTTGTTAAGCCAACGTCATTAAATATAATTTTGTAATTAAAAAAATGAAAGTTCTTTTAACTTAGCATTGTTATTTGAATTTATTATTGGTAACTCATCACCAATAACAGATTCCTGACTCTGCATAGATTGGTGATCAGCTGCTGCTCAACCAGCTCCTTTATGCAGCAAATGCCAGATTATTCATCTCTTTGAAACCACCCTCGTCATTTTAAAGTGCCGCTCAACGTTATATACACATCCTGTGACAGCTCGTGGACCACTTGATTCTTCTGGCCATTGCCCAAGAGGAGCTTCATCATGGAACCCTTGCCCAACGGAGTCGTCTTCTTTATTTCATTCATCTCTCCATATATTATTTCTTATAACCAGCATAGCTACTTACAGCCAAATAAAATCTAAAGTGGGGTACAACACCGATCACCGATAAGGTTTATAGCTCTCATAGTTTACTCATAGGATTTACTCTGTAATCCTCTGTGTGCCAAAGATTGTCGTTCCATCTATGTTTGTTTAATTTTCATCAAAGTAAGGTTTTTTAAACAATTGAAGTGAAATTAGGGAAGTAAAAGTATTATATTTTGAAGCATAATATTTATATTAACTAACAGTTATTACTATTCATATTATTATAAATATGAATAAAACAGAAAGTAGACTATAAATATTGATAATACAAAAATTTGTTGGATGAAAAGATTATAGAGATATTAAGAGTTATGTCAAACTTAATGTCAAATATATTTTAGTATAAAGATAATCGAACATTTTAATCGAATCTTCTTTTAGCAGCGTCAAAAATATACAAAATATGCAAAACAAATGTCTCGCAATCAAAATCCATTAAATGTCCTTGAGAAATTTAACACTTGCTTGCCATTCATTACAATTATCAGCCATAATCTGTTTATGCTGCTTACAAATGGCAGACTGCAAATGAAAAAAAAAAACATTAAAAATCCGGCAAACAAAATTTAGTTTAGCAAAGCTGTGGCAACCTCAATAGTTGCCTCCCAGTGGCCCAAAGTGGCCCAAATTAATTGACACCATTGCTGCGATTTGGGGTTTGGCAAATTAGTGGCTGGCTGCCAAAACTGTCCGAAATTCAATGCGCGTTGCCCCGACAAGCATAATTTCAATTAATAATCAAATCGGCAAACCGGACACGAGCCACTGCTGCGACCACGCCCACACCTGCATGGATCCCAGAGGCCCCAACACCGTCGAGCTGCCCGCCTCACCCACTTCCATGCCGACAACGTTGACGACTTTACAAATTGAAATTAACATCGTGTCGTGGGACGTGGAAGGGGATGGTGAAGGGGGTGTGGGTGTGCGGCAACACAAGTAACCAGGTCATTGTGGAGAACGCAGAAAATTAGAATAAGTTTTCGGGGTTGGCAACACTGGGGTTGTAGGCCCATCACCAGAATTGTGTTAATGAAGGCGTCAGTGTCTGCCACAAGAATCTTTATTATTTTGTAATTAAGTGGCTTGCCAAGTGCGGCCATGACGAGCGTATCTCTACGCCCCCTCCCTCCGCTGCCACCCTACACGGTCACTTGTATATGCACAAAAAGAAGACGACGACAACTCTGGCAAAGAAAATTATGTTGATTCAATTTGAAAAGCCTCGACGGGCTGTCAAAGTCAGTCAAGAAGTCGACAGACAGACTCGAGTTGAGTTGAGTTAGTTCAGGTCTGTGTAGCATAGAGTGATAGAGTTGCGAGGCAGCCCATTCATTTTGTTTGCGTTTTTGTTCTCGGCCACTTTCATTTGTATCCTTGCTTTTTATTATAAATATTGTCTTTAGCGGTTGCCAGGTGACTCGCAAAGAAGTAAACAACTTGCTTATGCCTCTTGACCTAACAATTGTAAACTATTATTCTACTCATGAAACCCGCTCCCTTCAACCAACCAAACTCGATGAGCTTATTTTATATCTACGAAGGATCACACAAAATACATACGAAAGAAATGTTTAAAGTTGCTTGTTTGTTGATTACTATTTTCATCTGATATTCAGAAAATAAACAGAAAAATAAATGGATTACAGGGAAGTCGCTGTCATAATTAATTGATGGATTCGACAAGTGTAAATAAAAATGTAAACAGATTATAAGTGTATCCGTGTAGAGTAACGAAGAAACAGTATAAAACGAATAAATAAATCAAATTGAGATTTATATGATACATTGTCGATTTATATTTGTAAACATTTTAAATGCAAAGAAATCTTTTTATTCGTTTTTCATGAATTAATAAAAGTGTAATAAATTTAATCACACTAATTGAGGTGTTGTAATTGTCGTAATATGAATTATATATTAATATATGCTAATGGGATTTCTTATGGGGCATAAACGAACAAGAAGCGGTCAAAGTTAAGTATCGATATCTGAGCAGCATCGATACACTCAGTTGCAGCCAACTCATTATCAATAAGCACAAACATATAAATGTATATCCATTTTAATTCAATAAATATAATAAATAACATATATCTATTTGCAAAAAAAATACTCTCAGCGGTTTTAATAGTATCTGTTAAGGCAGCTTTTAAATCTAACAATTAAACCATAAACAGTAAACAAGACTTACATCCATTCTTCATAATTAAAGTATTTCGATTAACATCACCTCCAAAGAACAAGTTACATACGCGATTTATGTGTACAATAAATAATAATAAATACATATATTACCGCAAATTATCTATAATGCTATAATCAAAAGAATAAAGGACTGAATCAATATAATACAAAGAAGAAGAAAATATTTCATGAAATTAAAATAGCAACCAAGCTGAATGTATTTAAGCAGTAGATAAAGAAGATTGATATCTAAAAAGACAAAGACAAAAAAACATATCTTCTATAAGTAACTTCTAAGTCGGTTGGATTTTCAGTAACATTTATATTGAGAATATTGATCAACCTATTGAAATGCTATAAAAGAAAGACTTGAAAGAGAAGGTTCTTAAGCTTAAAAATGTGCAATGCGTATTATTATCTTCAATATAATTTTAATTAACATTTAAATTAATTTAAAAATTGTAATTTTACAATTATTATTTATTATTTCAGATTTTAAAATAGCTATTAATATTTTCTGACTGATACCAATAATATTCAATAGAATGCACGTATTCAAACTAAAATTCGAAGCAATTTCATATTTTACAAACTGGTGCTGGCATATTCATTTCCCAGAATAAAAGATAAACGACAGGACGACAGGACGGCAGAGTCAACATATCAACGTCATCTACGCTGAACCAGAAATAAAGAACGTGCCGCCAGCGAATTCTCTTCGTGGGGGCTATCGACTGAGGGGCAACTGGAAATTTTAAAGACAAGGAGAACACGCGCGATTTTCTTTTTCTTTTCTTTTCTTTTCTTGTCTTGTGTTTTTTTTTTTTTTGGTGTCTTATCTGTAATGATAGATGCCACGCCCACACACGCAACGCGACGCCTGCGGCAAAGCGAGCGACAACAATTTACAATAAATGGAGTTAAAAGTTACAATTCAAACGGCTGCTTCGGGTGGGGGCGTGGCACATCATCATTGTTGTTATTGTTGCTGTTGCTATTTAAACGTGCGATAAGCCGACGCAATTTAATAGCAAAAATAACAATAAAATACGAGACAGACAGACTGGCAGGCACAAAGCAGGAAGGCAGCCAGGAAGCAGGCACGAGGCAGGAGGCACGAGGCAGGAGGCAGCAGGACAACAAGACAGTAACCAGAATCCACCCAGCGTTGGCAAACAGTCGAAAAATAAATATAGCCGCCTTCGGGGTGTCCTCAAACCTCACCGCCCGCCCCCAAGGACATTGGGCGTGAAAAGTGTGTCGTCGCGCATATGTAAATATTTGCATAAAAACCTCGGCAACAACAAGACCAAAAATTGGGGGGCGACAGACTTATGTGGGCATAATAGCTTTCGATTATCGAAAGTGAGCAGCGGGGCCGCCTCTTAAAGCAATACCATTTAAAGAGGTTCAACAGAAACAGAAAATAGCCACATGTGTTTCTGATTTAATTAAATTATTAAAGATACGTACAGCCTTGAATTGTACTTGATATTTTTATACTCTGATATCGACGGTATAATTAAAATTTCCAAACTTAATAGATTATAAAGAACCTCCTTCAAAGATAGAGTAGTAAGTAGTAAAGAAAAATATCGCTGAAGTACATTATTAATGTTGTATTTCATATTTTATATATAATATAAAGGTTGCTTAGGAAAAAGGAAATAAATAAGTTTTTGTGCTGAGTTTATTGTTTAGAAGGGTTTGCTTTCAACTCAATAAAATCTTCCTTTCTGATGAGTATCTACAAATATTTAAATTTGTAAGTAGCTTAATTTATATTTGTATAATTTCTGTTAAGGGTTCTGCCTTTCGATTTAAAACATAATATTTGTTATTGGTTGATATTAATGCTGAGATGTTAGCTGAAGCTATTAAGATCATTTCTGTTAGGATTAAATAACAATTATAATTTAAATCTCAGATTAGCCCTTAATAATAATAAGCTCACATATTCAATTAAAGAAGCACACTATATATAGTCCTATGTGGCATGTAGCAAGCAATATATAGTTGCCATAGTTGGCATTTTCAAAGTTTTGCATATTTGTGCGACAAATTGCTGGCCAATATCAAAAACAGTTTCATAGTTTTATCCTCCGTGCGAAAACAAAAAAACTATTGATCAAAATAAACAAAATTTCTTTGTTCATGCCTAACAAGAGTCTTAAGGGAATGCTAAATGAGGCATGCCACAAAAAATTCCATGTGTTCGTGTGTGGCAAAGTTTTGGGCGGAACATGTTTGCCATACTTTTTATCTGCACCAAATTCCTTATGCGAGCAGTTTATTAAAGGATGCGAACAACAGCCAAGTAGTGTCCTGAACAAAAGCAGTCCTGCATGTGAGTGTGTGTGTGTGTGTGTGGGTCTAGAAAGTTGTAAGTGCATTTCGCATAAATGGAAAATTGTTCAATTTATCGGCGCACAAAGGAACACACC